TTCTGGAGCCTCCCACGCATGTTGCAWCGATTCTCTAACTCTCTGCCATTGCCTCTGTGGCCAGCTATGGCAGCACCCTACCCCCAGCTAGATCCCAGTTAACTGTGTGTTTGGGACAAGCTGTGGAGGAGGGGGAATCTCAATAACTTACCTGTCTGTCCTATTAAGATAAATTCTGATAACCAATCAAAATATGAACAGTCACCTCTTGCTATATTTAAAGAATTACAACCTTTAAATGAAAGGGGAAATACAGGGTTTACTCTACTGTCACTGGAGCATGTTTATCAGTTACTGAAAGTAGACCTAAATTAACTCTTTGTTTAAATGAGCAGTCAATTGCAGGGTTATTGGACACAAATACTAAAGTCATGGCAATAAATACTTTTATGGAATCGCTTTATGCATGGCCTCAAGAGGTCACCCTGGTCTGGGGCAAAGGAACCAAAAATAAACAAATGTTCAAAAACTCCCYGTGGCTACCATGCTCTATCCTTTCCAATCCACAACAAATCATTACTTATACTCAACCATATGTGGAAACTGTTACAAGATTTACAGATTTAAAACAAAAAGAAAAAAGAACYCTCCATAAAGTATGTAAACTACAATACCATGCTTTAAGCAAATTATCTTATAACAGAAAAGAAAAAAAATGATTACAACATTTTTTACTTACCTTTTAACTTCTGCTGGTTTCTAACTTTCCTAGCCTTATATTTAAAATGTAAATTTCAAGGCTAACAAGATTTATTAGACTTATGAAAAACTAGTTAAGACAAAAGGAAAAAAGTGTCTCTTTTAAATTCCAACTGCTTGGCTGGCTGTCTTATCTGTGTTCAGCTGGCTTTCTTGACTAGTTCCTCCCTAATGTTATAGCACAGAATCATAAAATGCCCCATAATCCTACCAGACAGGCTTTGGTTAAACAAGCACATTGTACTCTTAAAATTTGCCTTTTAATAAAGAAACAAAAAGGGGGAATCTAGCCTCTCTCATAGAAATAATGCTTTAAATATTGTTTTACTTTCAGTTTATGCACTCAACATACCATTCAAAGTTTATACTCACAATTGGTCATCTTCTTTGGRTAGACATTTTATTCCCAAACAGCCATTACCAAAAATTTATGTAAAATATAGGTTTCCACCATACCCAGGATGACAGGACCCTATGCCTCTGATCACATGGGGAAGAAGAGACAGGTATGCTCACACCAACAGGTCCAGTTTGGATTCCAGCTCCATGCAGGAGACCTATCAGTTATGAATGGACATTAGGGACTTCACAACCTGATCCCCAAGTTTCATTTGATTGTGGATGAGGAGAACACACCAAACAAAAGGACAATGATCACTCTCCTTGAAAGAGAAGGTACACTGAAAGACGATCCCAAGCTACTAGAATTCCAGTGACTTGGGGAGATACAAAATCATTAACAGCATCAACTCAACAACTGTTGGCTCAAATGGGGTTAAAATATATCCCAGAAAACTTAGTTACTGCTTTGATTGCTAATCTCACACAGAACTCTGTAAATGCTTTGGTCTTAACAATAATGTTGTTCTGTTGTTGTACCCCAGCTGTGGAAATTCAGTACAGCCAGACTCCTTCACTTCTAAAACTCATTACAATATCTGGGTTTGCTTGTCTGAAATTGTTGTATACCGACAACAGTGTCTCATGGTACCCATATTGTCTTAGCAGACTGTGTTCTTACCTTCCCCACAGGATTTAATAGGCCACCATCCTACACAACATATCCATAAAGGTCTATTCCCCTTGATAAAAACTGTGATGATCCAGTAAACCTTCTCTCTAAGGCAAAATTTGACGCTTTGACATTTTCCTTAGTGGATATCCCTGGACTAGCTGTCAGGGCTTACAAAACACTATAAAATACTGGACTGTGCTATGGTAAATGATATTAATCATACCTCTATGGCAATTAACCTGCTTCAGAAGAAGTTTAAACAAGATTGTCAAACCATACTTGACAATTGGGCTGCAATTAATTATTTGCTAWTATTACATCATAAAGGATGTCAGGAGTTTAATAATATGTGTTGCTTTAACTTAAGTGATAACAGTAATTTTATTTCAAAGGAGTTAGATTACTTTAATGATATCATTGATAAGGTCTGACAAGATGATGGACGTTTAGACTTATGGGATTGGTTAACTGTGGTTACCCAACTTTATTGGGTCAAACAATTACTTATAGGTGGATGTTTACTAATGCTGGGATTGTTATGTTGTGCTTGCTATTGTCAATACCTACCCTATTTTTTGCCTCTATCAGCATTAAGAAGAAAACAAAAATTATTCATCCAAAAGGCCTTAAAAAACAAGAAAGGGGAGCTGTAGGGGTTCTGTGTTTGGGATTGGGGTCCCTGATGACTTCAGGGCTGTGGCAGGCTTGGTACTTGGGAAAGTTTCTGTGCAAAGGTGTAAGATGCCCGGTTGGTATGGCAATGCCCTCCATGCTAGAGTCTTAYCAGCTTTGACCTTAATCTTAGGCACATAGGGAGTAAAGGAACTTGCTTGCTTGATAACTACAGTGTCTCACCAAGCTCTGGTGCTCCTGGAGCTGCCTGCCTAACAGTAACTTCAGACAATGGACCTTCTTGAGAGCTGCACAAAGCTCCTGACATTGCATATTGTAACTGTGAAATGTAACTGCAGAACAAGTAACCTTCCTGATACTCTAAATAGTAAAGTGGTTAAGGTACTAATGATCTATTATATTATTGTACTAACCTACTGTTATAAATAAACATGGCCTCTTGGACAAGGAGCCATCTGCCACCTTCCCTGCCTCTGCACCATATCTCTCTGTCTACTCTTTTTTTTTTTTTTTTTAAAGAGAGAGTGAGAGAGGAGAGAGAGAGAGAGAGAGAGAGAGAGAGAGACAGAGAGAGACAGAGAGAGAGAGAGAGAATTTTTATTATTTATTTCTTAGTTCTCGGCGGACTCAACATCTTTGTTGCTATGCGGTGCTGAGGATCGAACCCGGGCCGCACGTATGCCAGGCGAGCGCGCTACCGCTTGAGCCACATCCCCAGCCCTGTCTACTCTTTATTATTATTCTTTACAGGGTTTAACTTAGCTGTTGTCAACGTGAGTGGTCACTGGGGTCATGGAGATGCCTGGGAGGGAGGACTTTGACCCTTACGGTTGACCCTTATGCTTGTTTTCTCTGTGCACTGGTGTCCTGTCTAGGGAGAGGCATGGTGTGCTGCCTGTCTCTCATAACAGAGGGCCTGGGTTTGGCATTCCCCCTGGGTGGCTGGGATTCAGAATTGAGCAGGGAGTGAGGGCAACTTCAGAGTGGGTTTGTCACTGAGTGAGTACAGCAGTTTCCCACGGATTCACGTATAAGCAAATGAAAGATAAATACGGGGTGTTTACCATCCTCCGTTCCTCTTTTAGCAATTATAATATCGAATATTAAATTATTGCTTCCTGCTGAGGGTCTGGCATTTCATGAGAGAGACTTTTACAAGGTGGTTGAGACTCTGTGGACATTTAAGAAATCAAGAATTGTTTGAGAAATGGGCAATCTGCCTGATAGGAGGAGCAGATGAACATTTCTCCAGTGTTAGGATCATGGAACTTCAGCTGTTGCAGTGTGTGCACCACAAGATTCTACAGCCGATTTTTTGGGTGAAAATAATCATGTCCAGCCTGAGTCAGCGTGTGGAGAGCCTCATGGCTGTGCATGTGCCTGCTCTGCACCTGCCCATCTGTCTGACTCTGTGCTGCCCTCTTCTCCAGCTCCTTTCTGTCCCTGCCCTGTGACCGCCTTACTGTCAGCACGCTTGGAACCTATTTCACACTTAGGTCTGACCACTTGGCTTCTCCTTGCTGTCCCCTTGCCCTGGGAGCCACCTCTTCATTCTCTCCTCTTCCCTGAACTCAGGCCCCTCTGCAACAAGGCTGTGCCCCACTGTGCCACGCCCAGCCCTCTCCCTTCTCTGCTCTCTGCTGGGCTTTCCTGTCCTCATCGCCAGCCACACTCATCTCCCATGAACTTGTCTTGTGTCTGTTTCAGTGCGGTGAGGCCAGGGGCTTATCTGTCTTGTTCACAGGAAGAGTCTTCATCCTTAGTGGTGAAGAACTCAGTGACTATGGGGTGAGTGAAAGATTGTCCAAGCATCATGACATGACATACCTCATAGGACTCGTTGCCCTTTATTTTCTAAAACAGAAAATTGGATAGAGTTTGCTTTTCCTCAAGTCTGCACAGGTGGATCTACAAAGTCTGTGGTCCTTGTGGGGGAAGGGTGCCAATTGATCCTCCAGTCATGCCTTCCTCCTGCGTCCTCTGCCGGATCCCAGCAGTATGTGAATAAGAGCAGGAATGGGGACTGGGGCAGGTATTTTATTAATGGGGCATATGCCCAGTAACCAACAACATAGGGGTTTAGAAAAACCAGACTTCAAGCAACCTGGATTCAAGAATGTCCAACAGACCCCCTCCCTCCAATTCAAAGTAGAGTAGGTGTGAAGCAAGAAGCGGGGGAGAACTTGGGCTATCTCAGCAGTCTGTGAGCYGCCATGGAAAGAGGAAACGGACTCATTTAATCCAATCACTGAAGAGAGCTCTCCTTTTAGGATGTGATCCCATGACCCGGTGGAGGGAGGCACTGAAGGGATTGCTCYCCCCACTCCCTCAGTTGGGAACCCAGCAGCACCCTGTCCATGGGAAAGGGRAGGGCTGCAGTACCCCCCACCATTYGTGATCCTGYTTGTGAGTGAATACACTAGAAGGAGAGCTCCTCTGGACCACAGAGCCGCCGTAGCACTGGGCGTTTCTGAGAGTGGCTAGACACTGCCACCTTGGATCCTGGGCCCATTGCTAGCATGGAAAAGGACATGCTCACACAGGTCCACAGAAAGGTAGACACCCCAGAAAGAACCTCACGTCCTGCCCTTGACAGACTCGGTGGGGTGGATCCTGGCCTGAATTGGGAACTCAGGAGCCTCTTCTGTTTCAGGTCCRGGGGAGTAAGGGGGAGGTGCTGTACATCCTGGATGCCACCAACCCGCGACACTCCAACTGGCTGCGCTTCGTGCATGAGGCACCCTCACAAGAGCAGAAGAACTTGGCAGCCATCCAGGTGAGCACGCTGCTTTGTGTTTGTGAGTTAGCTTTAACTGCACTCCCTGCTGGGCTCAGTCCCCAGGACCTGCTTCAGATAACAGTAACTAAATCAGAGGACAGAGCCAGTGGGAGCACTTGTGTACTACCGTGGAGATTTACCATAGCAATTGGCTCGCATGGCTCTGGAAGCTGAGAGTCCAAGATCTGTAGAGCCATGTCTCAGTGTGAGTTCAAAGACTGGAAGCTCCTACAGATTAGGAAGCCTCTGCTCCCGTCCCAAGGCTGTCCAGCAGATTCYATCCTTGCGGTGGTGGTGGTGGGGGGTGTCTGACTGTGCTCTGTTCAGCACTTCCCTTGATTGGAGGAGGCCCACCCACATAATGGAGGTCAGTACACTTTACTCACATACACAGATTTTAAATGTTAATGTCCTGTAAAACCATGCTTACAAAAACACCCAATTAACCATCTCCCATGACCCAGCTGAGTGGACACCTAAGAGAAACYGTCACAGGTAGGAAACATGTTGTTTGGAATCCTTTCCCTGGATCCTAATGTACCACTGCCCATAATGTAAGGTTCTGATACCTAGGGTGGTGGGGGAGTGGGATTCATAAATGGAAATTGAGACAAGAAAAAATTCAGGCATCAAAGGGCCCTGTCATCACAGGGCGCTGCCCAGAGGACTGAGAGTGTAAGAAAAGCTTACATTCTGGGGGAGCTGATTTTCTGTGTGGCCATGCCTAGCCTGGGGGGTCCACAGTGGAWGTAAAGCTGCAGCTGGTGAAAGCAGGAAGGAAAGGGGCAGTGGGTGCACCAGAATGTGAGCGTCCACCAAGTGGTCCCTGGCTCCCGCTCTGGTCAGGGGGAATGTTCCATCTCCTACTGTCTTTATCTAGCCAGTCTTCTCACTGCAATAGTGTGATTCCTCTTGGTAATAGGGTGATTCCTCTCTTTTTGTGAATAGTGAGYCTTTATCAAGCAGCTAAATTGGGATGGAAAATAGGATCTTTGGTAAGCAGATATTCAGGCCATTTTCACATTATTCACAGTGTATATCAATTCAGCCTCAGATTAAACTGATTACTTTTTCTTTATGTGTAGGCATTAATTTTTTTTTTTTCAAATTTATTTTGTTTTCCTGATTTCCCGAGGCGAAGTCTTGTCCGGGGCTCTTCAGTTATGCTGTAGTTTGACGTACAGACCCAGTTCTTCTTGGTACATGTTCCTGTTATCAACTTTGCCTACAGAACATGAAACGTTCTTTTAGCCAAGCTATTGTTTTGGCACGTTCTTCATTATCGCATTTGTAGAGAATGTCATTTAAATTATTTTCTTCCTTGCTGAGAAAGGTATTGAGCTTCTTCTAAATTCCTTCACRCTGGCTGTTCCTCCCTTAGGGTCAGTACTCTTCCCACTGCTTAGACTCCTGCAAGGGGCCCTGGTCAGGGGCCCCTGAGCCACCCCTGGGGACACTTGCTGTTTCAGTGGTCATGTCTTCTGAGAGTTGACAGTGCTCCTGCTCACTAGGTGCCTTCAGTGCAGCACTGCCCTTCCTCTGTGTCCACCGTGCATCTGTGCTGAAAGAACAAGTGTCCACAGGGATGACAGCTGTGGCTTAGGGCTCCTGCAGCATCAGTGCCTGAGCAGAGGCCAGAGCTCYGTGAAGCTTCACTCTTGGACTCTAAATGTGTTGGAATCTGAATGTGCTGAGGCACTGTGAGGGTGTGTGGTGCTCAGGTGGGATGGCGGCTGGGATTGTAACATTGTTTGCCCTTTGGTAACAAGGGATTCAGTGCACTGTTGCCATGGTTTCTGTCATGGAACTCAAGAGGGACCTTTGTCAGCACCCGTAAGGTAGCACAGTAGCTGGAGCAGTGGATTGTTGAGGGTTCAAGATCACATTTGAGCTAGGGCCAAAGAGCATGACAGCTGGGTCACAGCAACGTGAGCCTCCTAATTGGATGGGACAGTCTCCCGAGGATCCTGTTCCAGGAACACTKAGTTAGTAAGGAAAGATTGCAGTGTTTCCTGCATTACATTATGAATCACTTGCATTCCAAATTGCATCTGAAATTTGGGGTATTCAGGAAATTTTTTATTTGAGCTGTCTGTCCCGGGAGTGGAGTAAATGAGAAACATTTGTGGCTATGTGGCTGGTTTGGTGGAAAACTTCAATACTTGATCCAGGTTTTTTGGCTGAGGGATTAAGAATTTGAGTTCTGTCTTGGCAGAGGATTGCAGCTCCTTCTTGGAGATGCGATCATATTTCTAGTTTTGCAATTTATTTGATTTTGGAAAATTTGTTTTGGAAATGATGATTTGAGTGTATGAATTGCGGAAAAGGTATCCTGTAAGCAAACAATTCCTCCCACTTGCACACTTTCCTGAACAATCAGTCGAACTGTATGTTCATGCTTCTGGGAAGTTTCCAACTGTGAGAGAAAAACCTAAATATGAAAGATGCAGCTTAAAACAAACCCAAAGTATGCTTAAACTCTGTAAGATGTGGGTGATTCTCTTTAAGTGTTAATTTTGTTTCACTAAAGGAAAAAATGTACATGTGGTATTTTAAAAAAAAATCATTTGATTTAGTGTTTGGTAGTCTCTTAAATTTTTTTTTTGACAGACAATTATTTAGTTAATGCTATTCAGTTAAARTTACTGAATTATGCTATTTAGAAATAAAACTCTGAATTGTCTGGAAATTTCAGAGGTGGAGGGTTACCTGTCA